GACAACAACTTTTACCATTATTACTATTATTAATTACAATATCTCAGTAATTCATTATGATATTAATTGTGTCTGTTATCAATAATAATGAAATGTCTTTACACTGTTGTTTACATTTTAACTAGTCAGATCTAATACCTGATGGTGCTCAAGTGTTTTTGGTCTCTCTCTCCTCCCTCTCTCCTCCTAATCCCCCTCCCCACTATCACTCTCTCTTCTCTCCCCTCTTTTCCACCCATCTCTCCTCTCCTCCCCTTTTTCTTTGCTCACCCCAACTGGTCGTGGCAGATGACGCCCACATTGAGTCTGGTTCTAGAGGTTTCTCTCTGTTAATGAGGGAGTTTTTCCTCAAAAGTCGCCAAAGTGCTGCATGTATATTATGATTTGGTGCTATACAAAGAAAACTGAATTGAAAATTGAATTGAATCAATGCTCTTCTGCAGGACAGCAGAGCAGTTAGTCTGTGCTTCGTCCACAAAGCTTCTGTCCTGTCCAACCCAACAGGCTGCTGTTGAACTCTTTTTGGACTAATACAAACCTGCATAGGACTGAGAGATGTTTATCATGAGTGGTTCTAAATGTCTGTGGAAAACTTCAATCACCCCAAAAAACCCTTAGACCACAGCAGCTCATGTTCTCATGATGTATATTGCTGTGCCAAGATCTGTCCATTTTCAGTGACTTTGCTGCCGCACAGAGGCAGAGAGCTGTAACTACAGACACAGGGATGCAGGCAGAAACTGATTTGAAGGTTAATGGAGAGGCCGTTCAGACGCAGAGCGCTGAGCTTGATACAGATAAAGCTGTCAGAAACCTTTCATTCAACCTGAAGAGCAATGTCAGATAAACTTGTGCTCGTAGCCCAGTCACAATCTGAAGCTGCATTTGAACATGAAACTTTCATACAATTGCGTTGAGGATGTTTAAGCTAAAGGGATGAAGTTGTATCACTGCTGAGGTTACCCTTTAGCAGGACTAGTTTATCTGCTGGTTTCTTTCTGTCATAGGTGGATCTACTGTAAAACAACAAACTACTAATTCGGTTAGTGATGTAGGGCAATTATTTGATGTCCGCTGTCTCATCAGATATTCATATGCATGGTCCTCTAATGTTTGATTATATGCACTCCAGATCCTGACCTTGTTCCACGATGTACCATGTTCAAGTAGAAATTAGGATGGGATGTGTTTTTACCGGCACGATTGAATTACCAATAATAGAGCAAGATTTCCACATAATGGCTCGTTTGCTCTTTCTGAACCGTTTGAGCTTTGCCTTTGTGAACATGAACTAGATCAGTTGGAAAATTGAAACGATATATGACGCTTATTCAAACCAGGAACCTTTTGGTGTGATGTGAACCTGCCCTAAATCAGGGTCTTTATGCTACCACTGTTGTTATTGAGGCATTAGGTGGAGGGTCTGTGTCTGAGTTATCATTCGGTAATATTATTTACAAAATAAATAGTAATGAAGGTTTCTTAAAAAGTTTTCATCCTTTGGCACACTCATTTCTGGTCATATAGAACCTGGATATGACATGTTCTAGTATAATGTGAATCTAAAATGGAATAAAACCCTATAAAATACAAAACATGTGAGCGGCACACTGCAGACAGACAAGGATGAAATGAACCAGGACAACACAGCTGGTTTCTCAGGTGCTGAAAGAGGTTTAGGAATGAGAAGAGCTCCATCATCATCTCCTGAGGTGCTGGGACATGTCAGATAAAACCCAGCTGCTGACAGGAGCAGCTATTCAGGGGCTGAGAGGAAGCTTTCTGCTGATTTCACTGCTGAAAGAGGAAATGGATGAGTGGGAGTTCTGTTTGAATATCCTCAGAGTAGATTCAAAGTAGTGGGTGGTGCTCCCTTTTATCCACATGTTTCATATAATTGAATTCTGCCAGAAATTAAATTTTTGTATTCCTGGTGGCTGTCACAGAGGCCTTTCATCACTCACAAAAGAAAACTATAAAAATCGTCCCAATGAATGTCATTCAAACCCAACACAATCCAATATTTGTGTGTGTATGTTTGTGCACGTGTGTGTGTGTTTCGTTTAAAGCAGCAGAACAATCTGTAAACAAAGTCAGAGTCCGCTTTATTGTCAATGTTGCTTATGTACAGGACATTTAAATCTCCCTAATCCTCAGTGGAAACATTGTAAGAGCCACGAAGCAATCTGCATTTGCCTGTTAAAATATTAATGTTGGTTTGACATGTCACTTATGTTCTAAAGTTTAAGTTTATTGTTTTATTTTTGTACAGTTAAAGTATATTTTGTGCTGTGTATTTGCTAGTATTTATTTATAATCTGCTGTATTTACGATTAATTGTTTGTAACAGTTGAAAAAGGCCTAGTGCAAATGCTTAGTTATATATTATTGACCGCATGGATATCATTAAGTGTGTGAAGTCTGTGGAGCAGTGGTCCGACACAGGTTTTTGAACCTGACACAGTGATACATGCAACAACGGACAGTGTGACGATGGACATGATACAGATATTTGGAGTCGGTAATGGACCAAGCTACGGCGTGTTTATAACCTGTTTGCTGGAACCGTTCAAATCAAGCCTTTCAAGTTTTACCCTGCCTCTGGTTGAAATGTGTTGACATTGGATTTTCACAACAAGGCCACAAGTTTTTCTGTTGGACTCAAACTTAATCATCACTCTGCAGGCGGACAGGTGGACTATTGGATAATGGAATGAGGTAAAGTGGCCACTAAACATATTAGTAGACATATAGGTAATCGACTTATAAGTAACACAATCAGCATACACGTAGCACAATTTTAAAGTACTTAAGTGACATGCAAGTACACAACACAGTAGGCAGTCTATAGACACAGGGTAGATAGTGTTAGGAATTTCTGTAAAGCCTCACACATTACTGTTTATGCCACGTATTATGTATATCTGTATACCATTAAGAGAATAGTGGCTGTCTATTTCCACAGATCCCTTCTCTCTCTAAGCAGTACACAAGGTCAGGTTATAGATAAAGGACCAACCAACAGTACATTGTAGTGTCTACGCTCAGGGACTTTCATATCTAACTCAGATGCCCCAGACAGAGGGGCACCAACTTCAACTCTTCTGTGTATTACACCAGTATCCAATAGGATGTGAACACCTACATGTAACATAGAGAGTGACAGCAATTCTAGGCTTTCATGGATGTGCTGTTAGAATGGGCGACGCTAGTAGAGGAAGATGTATGGGGATGCTGTAAGAGACATCTTCAGACTGTGGGGGGGACAATTGCTCATGTTGCTGTGTTAGTGTTTGTATATTGTTCCACCTTCTGGTCTCCTTGATGCTTCAGTACATTAAAATCTTCTGCATAAGACATCAGCTGCTGCCTGAGTTCTGCTTTCACCAGCTTCCAGAAAACTTCTATAACAGATAGCATATTGGTATTGCAAACTGGAATAGAGCAAACATACCTTGAGGAGTGCAGAATACTTATTGGAAAGAAGGGAGCATAGTTATTCACATCTATGTATAATGAAGTTGCTTTCACTGCTGTTATCAGATATATGTACAAAGCATTCAGATCCATCCCATAATGACAGACTTGTAAGAGGAAGGTATCTCTACATACAGAACGAATAGTAAAACAGCACTTGGTCTGTATTTTTTCTTTCTGTCAGTATTTACACCAAACACAGTCTAATCAGATGAGGCATGGCAACAAAGCTTTTCATTCCACCCCGGAGAGTTTCAGTCTCCATCTGTCACCGGGGTTATTATTCCCTTCAGTCGTTTCCTTGATAAAAGATTCAGACTGAACCTGTGAGGGTGAAGCTGCAGCCGCAGCTGCCAATGAGCTGTCTCAGTATCCCACCTGTGTACCGCTCATGTTGTATATTCTTCTCTGTCTTGTTGCAGAGAACTTTCAGATGAGTGAGGAGATGCAAACTCTGGTTCCCCTTCGTTAAATTAGACATACAACACACCCACCCCCCACCTCTACCTCCACACTGCACTGGCTTTAAGTGGCATTGGAGGCCCAGTGTCGCTCATTAGGGACATAACTGTTGGTATACTGAATCAGTTTAAAGAACCATCTTGCTCCGGATCAAAGAGCTGGACAGTATGCACTGTCCTAACTAGTAAAATAACAGCATTGGGTACTTTAACAATAATGTTCACTTAATGTTTTCAGCAGGTTGACTTTTTTGGCTCCCAGAATGCTCCTCTTAAAGCTGGGAAAACGTTCTCTAAACATTGTCTTAAAACGTTAATCTAAACCTTCTTAAAATGTTTAATGATATGATGACAACTCCAAGCCTCTAATCAGCATGAATCACTTTAGGCTGGAGGCATAAATTCTGTCCAGCTGTGTCAGTCGAGGCAGATGTGTATCATGATGTGCAAATTCCCTATTGAGATTACATTTGTTATTTAAATTAATTTGCTGTTGTCTGAGAGTCAGACCAGAATTGTGTATGTAAGAATTAATGTTAGAGACATTAAGAGCAGGGTGTTCTTTTCATTGTCTTTTGATTTGAACTAGTTGTGTGTTTAATGAGGATTACCTTTCATTTT